ACTATCCGACCTTGACTTTGGCTAGGTCACACAGTTAAAGGTACACAACATGCGAAATTTAGAAAGGAATTTATATTATTCCCTGTGATTCTTTGATGAGGGTAGTTGACGTGCTGGTCGCTGGAGGAGCACCGGTCGATACTATCTCACTGCCTTCGTCTGCCACCTGTTGATTGACACAGGTGAGCGGACAGGTAAAATATACCTGTTGATGAGCCCAAGTGATCGATACTGACAACAGGTAGCTACAGGTGTATGGCGCTATCACTCATTCCCGATCCAAGGAGACGTTTACGATCTTAGCTGTTCCGACACGGTTTTATAGGATAGATCTCCCTGCAGACTTCAACACAGAACATGTTGCATATGTAATAATATGGAACAGGCCAGTGTAAAGACGAATATATTTTGCCTTGATTCGGGCGTTTATATTTCAGTGAACAACTAGTTAAATGAATGAATGGACTATCAAGTTGTTTGTTATCTTGGGATGTGAAAACTGACAAATTCAAATTTGAAAGTAGGTCAGTAATCTCTCCTATACTTGTTAAGCCATGACCTACCTACAAGCTCTATGTGTTTCGTTTATTAAATTCTTTTTAGACTGAAAATACACAATCCCGAAAGTGATTGACCGCGAAAAAAGGAAAGAAATAGAACACGTGCTCGCCGTTTTAATGTGGAGATCAAGCGTCACGTGGTTTTTGTCAAGGTCAGAGTAACCGCGGGCCAGGTTGATAGGGGTAGCTTTTGTAGCGTCTCTGAAGATGGCTCTGTAGTCGCTGTACTGTATTGTAGAAATTAGAATTTCAGTCGGTTGTTCTGTAGCAGTCAATGACAAATATATAGCAGATTGAAATTGGCCTAAATTCTTTCCCAACCCAAATCGCAGATAAGCATCGCACAAAGCCGTTATTGTTTTAAATTTTTAGAAACCCGTGCATCAATCGAGCAAGTGACGTCACGCTTGTCACATTCACCTCCTCAACTATTTGTGCCCTGAGGCCAGCATATTAATATAAATAGATTTATGGTACAGTATCTGCTACCAGTGTTCGTCAGGATGAGCAACTGGCTGGCTTAACGTGTCAGTGAGAAACAGAGAAACCTCGGCACTGGAGAATCTCACCATTGTAATTAACAAGCATATGATGTAACGGTGAAACGGACATGGCCACCGTGAAATTGACGACCCGATATCAATTGAGACAATTACTTGAGTGACATTAATTAATTAGGTCGTTACTGCATGTATGTATGTTTGTTTAAGATTTTGTGAAATGGTAAATATTTGTTGAATCGTTTACATCTATCTTTATGGAAACAAAGTATTTTTAATCCTGACACATTATCTACCGTGAGTATTCAGTTATTAACCATCCTAAAGCAGCGTTATCAACCCCCCTTAATTAGAGTCTATAAACCCGGCCAGGCATGGTGCTCAAATTCACTCCACACAAAACGCTGTAAAGTGGGAGATGTGTTGGGGCATGAAACATTAAGACGTAATACCCTAACAATATGTTCAAATCGAATTGCATCCAAAGCTGAATTCAATTCCCAACTTGTAATTGTACCTTTTAAAAATATCACCCTTTCCCCGAGTTATGAATTTAACAATTGTTCTTTTAAGTGCATTGACATTTAGATATCGCCGACCCGAACCCTGGGTCGGTCTAATTTGTCAAGCTAAAAGCTTCGAGAGACGGCCTTAGTTAGCTGGTCCTTGAAACCTGGGACCAATAAAGCCGCCCCGAACAGGAAATTTCACCAGTTTTGCATTTCTACACTTGAGGCCAATAGCCATTGTGTTAGAAGGCGACATTGGCACGACGCCAAGCCGTGTCACCATATACACCAGGGGCAGACAACTCCACCGGCACCGAGACACAGATGGGTACAAGTTTTGTTATATATACATGTATTGGGAAATTCATCGTATTTCTTTTGGTTTTGCTGTTGGTTTTGTGTGTTTTGTATTTTTAAAAAAACAAACACGCACGAGTTTCTCCATGTGTGATGAGCGACCTGACACGTCAGAATGTTTAAAGTACAGACTTACATATTCAGTTCTGAAATCATTTTCACATTTTTCTAAATGACCTGTTAACTTTTGAAACATGACCTGCTCTGCTTATCATAAGTATTCAAACTTTCAATTATACTCAATGGTATAAAGACTTGTTCTTCCACATTACTACTGAACCAAATACGGGAAATAATTATTTCAAAATGAAACATATAAGCTTCTACAAGATAGTTCTGACAACACGCCAGGACAAGGAAACAAACAATGTGTCGTGTTTTGAAGATCTCAGCAAATATTACGCCATTACTTTAGTTATTTCGACTGTTAACCCAGGCCTGTCTGGCGGGCGATAACAGCTTTATACAATACTCGGGACCGAATCACAGATAAGATAAATGTCCCTGGTGTCAGCTGACACGTCGGCCATCCACTTGCTGAGTACTGACTGAATTATACATATATTCAACTGGGGACGTTTGGTTTGGTAAACAAGACGAACTTGTCAGCATGCAACCGTGTTCATAGTTTCACCGTTTAATGCGTGAAATATTTAACACCTGCATTACTCCGGGCTTTCAGCACACGCTGTGAACAATCGCAAATACAGTCCACTCACTCACTCTCACACATTCACACATCTCACTCACTCTGCTGATCTTCACATAAGGAGTTATAAAGTTATATAAATGGGAACGGTAACGCCCATACGATTCCACGAGTCCCAGGCCGACTATGCCAGTCCTATTGACAGCTGTATATGGATGTACAAATAGCCAAAAATATGTATGTATGTTTGTTTGTTTGTATGTATGTATGGATGGATGGATGGATGGATGTCTGTGAGTGTCGTTATGGGCCTGTTAGCATCATCCCGCATCCTGCGGCCATGTAATATCACTTCTCATGTCGAGAATCGAATCCGGATGTTCACGGTTTGAACTAATTCATGAACCACTAGGCTACCCGCCTTGAGTACTGAGTGAATGGGGAGCGGTGGGGTAGCCTAGTGGTTAAAGCGTTTACTCGTCACGCCGAAGACCCGGGTTCGATTCCCCACTCTTCCTGGTGTCCCCCACCGTGATATTGCTGGAATATTGCTAAAAGCGGCGTAAAACCAAACTCACTCACTGGGTGAATGGTGTGTTTGTTTCTGATTTCAGTAATGAATGAGCCCATTTCGACTTCTACCAATACTGTGTTTTATTCAAGTGAACAATTGACTTGCCTGTGCATGTGTTTGTGACGGGTGTCACCGGTGGGGCAGGATACGCGCCTTATTCTGAAACACCCGGTGTCATCACTACCCGACAGTGTTTCAGTTACACGAAATAGACATAATGGTAAATCGATTTTCAGTTGATGTTGGGTATTAATATGAAAATGGGTTTGTGTATCAACGTTACACATTTTAAATCACGTTTGTTGAAACTAATAAAAACGACCCAATATACAACTCAGGCTATAGATCACCCGCAGCCCAAAGTAGTCCATCATGCTAGGGACCATTTGGTTCTTATTTGAGTAACGTAGGGCATTTGAATCGTATTTTGGCGTTGAGAGAGTGAGTGAGTGTGGTTTTACGCCGCTTTTAGCAATATCACGGCTGGGGACACCAGAAATGGGCTTCACACATTGTATCCGTGTGGGGAATCGAACCCGGGTCTTCGGCGTGACGAGTGATCGCTTTAACCACTAGGCTACCCCACCCCAGCATTGCGAGAACTGAGCATCGTTGTGTTTCCATAATGTGTGAGTGAGTTTAGTTTTACGCCGCACTCAGCAATATTCCAGCTTTATGGCGGCGGTCTGTAAATAATCGAGTCTGGACCCCATAACCTGTTCTTTTCTGACGTCATTATACACCTTAATAACAAGCGCTCAAGAGAAAGTTGTCAAAGTAAAGGAACAAGTTTTATGAGCGACATACGTATTTAATCTGACACATACACGTGTGTATATAACACGAAATACAACCGAAAGTGAATTTAACCAATGTATAACGTGTTGTGGAAAAGTATTGAGAGCAGTTTGTGTTCAACGTCAATTTACTGGACTGTGTGAGTCTATTTTTGGTGGAATGAAAACAACAATCTTATTTCCCGCTAAAAGCTGTTTACTGTACGTAATACTCCAGAAAGTGACGTGACAGTTATTTACATGGAAATCGCGACCTTGTCCTCACTTCCGCCTATGTTACCCTAACATATGACAAAGCTTGCCTCTGGCGAATTTCTAAGCCTGTGATGACGTCATCAAGCTAGTCTCGTGATGTGGCGACTTGCTTCCCTATTTGGAAGTTGTGACGTTTCGGGAAAACCCCGCGTTGATTTTTTAGTGAGGCGAGGTGCGGATTCCGAGAACGTGGACAGGGACAAGGGGGAAATACTGTTCTGGGAAATACAATGACGATTTACCCTCGGGCTTAATGGTGATGTTGACAAACGGAATTAAAGCAGGACAACGTACAACAGTCGTGACTGAGTTAGTTTCGAAATATATTAACCTAAAGAAACAATATTTCGTCCTTTGAAGAAACGATATCTCACGTGTGTTACATGAAATTTACGCCGCTCTTCAACAAAAATATAATATACGCTCCCTTTGAGACAGTCATTCTTTACATTATTTTTAACTTCATAATTCCAAAACAGATTCTACGCAACCAACAAAAACCTCTACATATTTGTTCTCCGTAAGTTGGACCAATACCGTTTTTAATGAATAAATTATTTTTTTAACTCCTCTTTTAATCAACTAACTGAAATGGGTAGTTGTGTATTTCTGTATTGCTGACGAAATACTTTCCATCTTTTTGATAATGAATCCAACTGATTATCGGAAAAGTTAACTTGTAAGGTTTTGTTAAACATGGGTATTAATCTTTATCATTACAAAGCAAATGATCCTCAGCCATCGAATCCTTTGTTGAAGGAAATGGTCCACGTAGTAACAGTTGGTAAGATTAAATGCAGTCGTTTCAGGGGTGTTTAATCGCACATTAAGATGGACGCATGAGAGCCTAGTTTTTGACAATTTGTTGATCAAAATTGAACCGTAATTGCTTGTTATACCGTAGCTCCGTCTCCCTCGACGCGCTGTAAAGGCGCCGTGCCCAGATCATGCAATTGTCTGATACCGTTGAGTGTCCAGTGTTTCTAGCGAGACGCACAGAAAAGACAATTGCCCCCACACCATGATAAGTGAGCTGACTCCGCTAAAAGAAGAATTCTTTATTATTTTAATGCCGATTACAAAAATCAATTAATTAGAAGAGCGCGACAGCTGTAATAGGGTTTAATTAAACACACTAATCAAAAATGCATGAAATAGTCTTTGTTCAGTATTATCTAAAAATAAAGAAGTCGCGAAAAAATTCTACCGCCGAAATATGAACCATTTTCTGCCAGATGGGTCCCTTTTGCATGTGCATTGTGGGGTTGGCGCCATTTTGAATGTCGGTTTTAGTGGGAAAATAGTTTTTAATTAGTAACCGAGAGCTCATTGATTTTTAGGACTCTTACCCGTTATTTGTACTGTCCTGGTTCCTTGTTCTGCAGGGCTGGACTTTTTGTAGCGAGTTTCTGAGACGTCCCATGGGATGCGGGTTGCGAAATCAGACCAAACAAGTATCTGATTATGTGTGCCTTTTCACGTGCAAAAATGAAAGCAACAACATTTCGTTTAACTTCCTAAAACGGTCGATTTGACGTGATTGGCTTAAGATATTACATTTTACCGAGGGATGCAATTAACAATAGCCAAGTCAATGATCCCGTCCTTGCTTTCATGACGTTAAAACGTAACCTAAAGATTTTCAAGGCTTTCACTGTGTCCATGTGTGACATTCTCTCTTCTCTCTCTCTTGTGGCACACACTCTCTCTCTCCCTTTCTTTCTCACCTCTATCTCTCATTTATTTTCTCCTTGTCCTTCTCCTTTACTATCTCCCTCATTTACTTTCTCACCTCTGCCTCTCTCATTTACTTTCTCCATTTCCTCTCCTTTACTTTCTTACCTCTATCTCTCTTCTTTACTTTCTCCCCCAACCCACCTCATCTCTCACCTTCACTTTCTCCCTTTTCTCTCTTTACCCCCCCTCCCCCGTCTCTCACCTTCACTTTCCTCTTTTACTCCCCTCCGTCTCTCTCCTTCACTTTCTCCCTTTCCTCTCTTTTTACTCCCCCCGTCTCTCTCCTTCACTTTCTCCCTTTCCTCTCTTTAACTTTCTCCCCCGTCTCTCTCCTTCACTTTCTCCCTTTCCTCTCTTTTACTTTCTGCCCGTCTCTCTCCTTCACTTTCTCCCTTTCCTCTTTAACTTCTCCCCCGTCTCTCACCTTCACTTTCCCCCTTTTCTCTCTTTTACTTTCCCCCGTCTCTCTCCTTCACTTTCTCCCTTGCCTCTCTTTTACTTTCCCCCGTCTCTCTCCTTCACTTTTCCTCTTTTCTCTTTTTTACTTTCTTTCTTTTACTTTCTACCCCCGTCTTTCTCCTTCACTTTCTCCCTTTCCTCTCTTTAACTTTCTCTCCGTCTCTCTCCTTTACTTTCTCCCTTTCCTCTCTTTTACTTTCCCCGTCTCTCCCTTTTTTCCCCTTTCTCTCTTTCTTTCTTTTACTTTCTACCCCCCGTCTTTCTCCTTCACTTTCTCCCTTTCCTCTCTTTTTCTCCGTCTCTCTCCTTCCTTTCTCCCTTTCCTCTTTTAACTTTCTCTCTTCTCTCTCCTTCACTTTCTCCCTTTCTTCTCTTTACCCCCGTCTCTCTCCTTCACTTTCTCCCTTTCCTCTCTTTTACTTTCTCTCCGTCTCCTCTTCGTTTCTCTTCTTCCTCTCCTTCCTTTCTCCCTTTCCTCTCATTTAATTTCCTCTCCGTCTCTCCCACCTTCACTCTCTCTCTTCCTCTTTTACTTTCCCTCTCTCTCCTTCCACCTCTTCTCCTCTCCTTCCTTTCCTCTTTCTACTTTCCCACTTCCTCTTCCTTCACTCCTTCTCCCTTTCCTCTCTTTTCTCTTTCCTCTCCTCCTCCGTCTCTCCTTCCTTTCTCCCTTTCCTCTATTCAACTTTCTCTTTCCCCGTCTCTCTCCTTCACTTTCTCCCCTTTATCTCTCTTTAACCTCCTCTACTCCCTTCACCTTCCTTTCTCCCTTTCTCCTCTCTTTCTCCTTTCCTCTCTTCCTCCCTTCTCCTTCTCTCCTTTCCTTTTCTTCTCCTCCTTTCTCTCCACCTCTCACCTTTCCTTTCCTCTCTTTAACTCTCTTTCCTTTCCTCTCTCTCTTTCCTTTCTCCTTTCCTCTCTTTTCTTTCTTCCCCCCGTCTCTCCTTCTCTTTCTCCCTTCCTCTCTTTAACTTCTTCCCCGTCTCTCTCCTTCCTTTCTCCCTTTCCTCTCTCTTTTACTTTCTATCCCCGTCTCTCTCCTTCACTTTCTCCCTTTCCTCTCTTTTACTTTCTATCCCCGTCTCTCTCCTTCACTATCTCCCTTTCCTCTCTTTAACTTTCTACCCCTTCTCCCACCTTCACTTTCTCCCTTTTACTTTCTCCCCGTCTCTCACCTTCACTTTCTCCCTTTCTCTCTTTTACTTTCTACCCCCGTCTCTCTCCTTCACTTTCTCCCTTTCCTCTCTTTTTCCTTCCCCTCTCCATCTCTCACCTTCACTTTCTCCCTTTCCTCTTTTTTCTCTTTCTCCTTCCTTTTCCTCTCTCTTTCCTCCTTCTCTCTTTCTCCCTTTCCTCTCTTTAACTTTCTCCCCCATCTCTCCACCTTCACTTTCTCCCTTTTACTCTCTTTTCCTTTCTCTCCTTCTCTCTCCTTCACTTTCTCCCTTTCTCTCTTTTACTTTCTACCCCCGTCTCTCTCCTTCCCTTTCCTCTCTTTTACTTTCTCCCCGTCTCTCTCCTTCACTTTCTCCCTATCCTCTCTAACTTTCTACCCCCGTCTCTCACCTGTACTGTCATCAATCTGTGTCTCCCCTCTCTTCTTGTGTTATACTTCTTTAATTTCCCATGTCTGCTTGTTTCCCCCGTTGTCCCATGGACCGTGAAGATCCGGGTTAGAATTGATCTTCAGTAACCCATGCTTCCCTTAAGAGGCGACTAACGGGATAAGGAGGTCAGGCTCCCCTGACTTGGTTGACACATGTCATCGTATCACAATTGCGTAGAACGATGCTCATGCTGTTGATCACTGGATTGTCTGGTCCAGGCTCGATTATTTACACACCGCCACCAAATAGCTGAAATTTGGTGAGTGCGGCGTAAAACTAAACTCACTCACTCACGTTGTCCCATGGGGTCTCGTTTGTCACGCTCTTCTCTATTCTATTCGATACCACGTACCCGTCCTATAACTGACCTATGATCTATACACTATATTCCCGAGTGTCTCTCAACAACCGTGTCCCTTGTCATTCTACCTATATCATTTTCACTCCAAAGTATTTACGAAATACTTGGACAGGATCCACAATTATTTTTAATTACACAGCCACTCAGCGTACTCTGACGTCATCCAGTCATAAGGTCGACGACGAAATATGACTCGAAAACACTGTCTCGGCCTTTTGCTATTTGCTTACATAAATAGACGACAGTTCCTCGCGGTGTAAGATATCCCGGCACGTAGCAAGTCCGAAATGAACCTTGCGATGACCCCTGTTAACACTCACTCCCCTACAACCGAAAATAGCATACCCCGTGACAATACCAGGGCGATCCTAATTTCTTCTTGTGGGTGATAGGGTTAACTGAAGAGTACTGATTGAGCATAAACATGTCGACCGGGTCATTGCGAATACGTGATTTTACAAACGGGTCGGGATTTACTGAGCTGGTTCTGCGACAGACATGTGTCAGACCTCTCACATCCTTAGTGCTCTTGAATGCTCTTGAATGCTCTTGCAGGTTGTATATGCTCATTGTCAAAAAGGACAAAATACGACTGCCTGGTCGTTTGTTTGTCGGTTTGCGTGAATCTAACTGTTTACTTGCACTTAAGCTAACGTATGTAGTGCGTGTGTGTATATATTATGTAGGTGTACGGCGCTGCGTCACGAATGTCCATTCAGCTGTCAACGGAACTATGTAAATGCTGTAAATTTCGAATTGTTTGTTAAAGAAAATGTCACATAAAGCACGCGTACAGCATGCATGGTTTTTTTAGATATACAAATTGTACGTTGCCGCCTTTTGTATTTGCGATCATCCAGGTCCTTTTCTACATTTCCGTTCTAGTGAATCGGAGCCCCGATTTACGTTCGGCTAGTTTAAAAGAACCCTCAAACGCGAAACATGAGGCTGTCAGTAAAGTCAGTCTAAGTCTTTAAGGTTGAACCCAGTCACAACCACCTAAAGCGGAACCTCATCAATACAGACACTTCTACATTTCAGTTAGGGATGGAAAGGCTTTACTCAAACCTGAGAGAGAGAGAGAGAGAGAGAGAGAGAGAGAGAGAGAGAGAGAGAGAGAGAGAGAGAGAGAGAGAGAGAGAGAGAGAGAGAGAGAGAGAGAGAGAGAGAGAGAGAGAGAGAGAGAGAATGAATGAATGATTGAAACCAAACCAAGTTCTTTATTGCAATGAGTGCGACGTTTCGGTGTAGGTATACTTGGTTGATAACGGTGTTAGTACCTACACCGAAAACGTCGCACTCATTGCAATGCCGAAGTTGACTTTCCATAGAACTTGGTTTTCCTTCATCTATACAACTTCTAAAATGCCTCTCAGAGATGAGAATATAGGAATGTTTTAACTAATGTCTGATGATTATCACAAACCTTTCAGTACTTTACTCCTGTACATTCGTTTCGCGTGTATATATACATGTACATATATATATTGTGTTGAGCATGATCATGGACTGACATCGATAAGACTGGTCTTGGAGTCCCGCAGCCAGGGTGTCTAATCAGGGCCCTCTGATAAGTAATGGAACATGTATTTTTAGAATTCCTTGTGGTAGCATGAGCTGGCATATTCGCCCCGCCACCTGCTGGCTGTGACATGAGCGTCTCTGACAGGCTTACGAAATAATTGGCAAAATTAAGGAAATGCATAGCAAATTAGTCCAAAAAAATATTTTCATAAGAGAAAAGTCACAAGTAAATTATTCCAAATCCATTGTTGTTTTATCCACTGAACAAAATACGCCAAATCATCAACTAATTTGATTTGAGTACACTGCATAAAATTCTGACATACTTTGGATGTTCAACCCTCATGCGCATGCGCACACTAATAAAGAGCAGTAAGTTGATGCACCTGCTAATATTGTCATGTGATCCAGTGTTAAGATGATGTACAAACCGGATAAATATGTCGACGAATATTATACAAATTGTCAATTATATTGTAAAAGAAATCCAAACTTAGTTCACTTATAAACGTAACGTAATGGCTTTATAAGTTGTTCATAACTACCTTACTGATATTTCAATGTGTAAAAAAATAAACATTTGTAAATGTCTGTCGAGGTCACCGAGGCAAATCTTATTTTAATGCCTCGGTAAGAGTAAGTTTAAATTACACACTAGATGTGCTGTGTCTTAATGGTAAATATACTGAGGTACATTTGAAAGATTTCAATAGCAACTTCGGCGTAGATACCCTAAACTGTGGTCTCGCTCTCGTGCGTGTGTGGAGAACAAAACGTAATTTCTACTTTGCCCCCCTACTCACATATAATGACAGCTTAGAGAGGGGACGCTATCGACAAGGATTTGTTGTTTGTGTGTTCAGAGTGATCATAATGTACAGAGCAAAATGCCTATTTTAGAATGCATTTCAAACAGCGCGAGGACAAAGATTTACAAGTTTGTAAGCTGACGGACACCCCTTTAACATCATTATCGACTATTAGGGGAAACGGTGGAGGATTATGAATGAAAGACGCGAGAGACGAATGAAGAGAGATTCAGTTAATTCCGGCTCGTCCATTGACAGCATTCCGACAGTCACGTAAACATCCAATACGTTTCTGTCAAGCGAAGTAAAAACACCCCCCACCCACCCCACTACCCTCTCTGTTCACCCCTCCCAGATCATCGTTTGCCACATGTCGTTAGTTTCT